CCAACCCGGGTGACAAGAGTGAAACTCCATCTCAAAAAACCATATCAGAGTTCAAACCTGACTTTGGCATTTAACCTAATACTATGAGCCTTAGTTTGCTCATCTTTAAAACGGCAGTCATTATATATATACTTTGTAGTAGTAAGCATTGGGAATAATGTTTTAGTGTACACTAGATAGTATTAAAATCACTCAGTGCCTGGGTCATAATAGTTATTCAATTAAATGGTTGATTATTCTCTACTTTCAGACATACTCAATATATAGCAACCCATCATATAACTGACCATCACCCCAAATAGCCCCAATTCATGGAGGACAGACAATATCCCTGTCTAATTCTTCTTTGCTGATAATTCCTTTTTTTTCTCCATCTTGCTCCTCTTCTGTCAGTTGATTTATGAAGACTCTATGGATTTAATCGCAAAGCTACCTTGTATTGCAGCAAAGATCTACCGAAATCTCTACAGAGAAGGCAGCGGTATTGGGGCCATTGACTCTAATCTGGACTGGTCCCACAATTTCACCAACATGTTAGGCTATACTGATTCTCAGTTCACTGAGCTCATGCGCCTGTACCTCACTATCCACAGGTAAGCTAGACCCAGCAACCACAGCCGCTAGGAGCCTCAATTGGGAAATTTTTTTAAAAGCTCCTTTATGTTCTCATCTTCTGAGAACAGATGATAGGCAGCAAGAAGACAGAAGTGTGGCATAAAGGATGATACAAGGCAAGAAAAGGGTCTAGTAAGGAAGGTCAGGAGGCCTAAAGAAATTACCATAACCATGCTGAGAATAAGATGGTGCTTCTGGCTGGGAAAAGGTACTAGCTGCTCACATTAGATAGTCCTTCGGCTTTCCAGGAGCTCCCTCTTCAGGCCATTGCTATTAAACTTAGGTTGGAGTCATGGAGCAGAGCATACAGGCATCATCAGCCAGTAACCTCTCCAGCTCTGGATGAGTGAACAAAAGCTGGTAATGAGATTAGGATGTTTTTTGTTGTTGTTGTTGTTTTTGAGGTGGAATCTTGCTCTGTCGCCAGGTTCGAGTGCAGTGGCGCAATCTTGGCTCACTGCAACCTCCACCTCCAGGTTCAAGTGATTCTCCTGCCTCAGCCTCCCAAGTAGTTGGGACTACAAGTATGTGTCACGATGCCCAGCTAATTTTTGTATTTTTAGCAGAGACGGGGTTTCACCATGTTGGCCAGGATGGTCTTGATCTCTTGAACTCTTGATCTGCCCGCCTCGGCCTCCCAAAGTGCTAGGATTATAGGCATGGACCACCGCACCTGGCCAAGATTAGGATGTCTTTTACAAGAGCTTAGGTGTAACTGACTGGCTGTAGGCTGGCATGAGCCTGTAACTAGGCTAGTAAGTGGCAAATAAGAGAACAGCAAGGTTTCCATAATCTGCCCCTTCTTTCTCCCCTTGGCTCTCCCTTCTTACTTCCCCACAGTGACCATGAGGGTGGCAATGTAAGTGCCCATACCAGCCACTTGGTGGGCAGTGCCCTTTCAGACCCTTACCTGTCCTTTGCAGCAGCCATGAACGGGCTGGCAGGGCCTCTCCATGGACTGGCAAATCAGGTAAGACTATTCTTTTTTATTTTCCTGCTACATGTTTTCCTTACCCCATGCTTTGTTTCTGATCTTGGCATTGTCTCCTGGCATATGTATTAACATGCCCTTTTTTCCCAACCTTACCCATAGGAAGTGCTTGTCTGGCTAACACAGCTGCAGAAGGAAGTTGGCAAAGATGTGTCAGATGAAAAGTTACGAGACTACATCTGGAACACACTCAACTCGGGACGGGTAAGCAGAGATGCTTAACGACTAGGAAAGAAACCAAGACCCAAGTTCTGCAATTTGGAAGAATTAAGAAGAAAAGAATGAAAGAGGTCCCTAAATTAGAGATTTTTTTTTTTTTTTTTCATTTATCTACCTTGAAGAATTTAGAACAGAATTTCTAGTTGGGCAAAATGGCATGCACCGGTAGTCCTGCCTACTTGGGAGGCCGAGGCAAGAGGATTGCTTGAGGCCAGGAGTTCAAGTCTGAAGTGTGCTAAGATCACTCCTGTGAATAGCCACTGCACTTCAGCCAGGACAACATAGCAAGACCCTGTCTCTAAAAAAAGATTTTAAATAGGTCGAGTGTGGTGGCTCACGCTTATAATCTCAGCACTTTGGGAGTCCAGGGTGGGTGAATCGCTTGAGCCCAGGAGTTTGAGACCAGCCTGAGCAACATAGACCCTATCTTTTTTTTTTTTTTTTTAAGACAGAGTCTCGCTCTTGTTGTCCAGGCTAGAGTGCAGTGGTGCAACCTTGGCTCACTGCAACCTCTGCCTCTCGGGTTCAAGCGATTCTCCTGCCTCACCCTCTCGTAGCTGGGATTACAGGCATGCACCACCATGCCCAGCTAATTTTGTATTTTTAGTAGAGATGGGGTTTCTCCGAGTTGGTCAGTTGGTCAGGCTAGTCTCGAACTCCCAACCTCAGGTGATCTGCCCACCTCAGCCTCCCAAAGTGCTAGGATTACAGGCGTGAGCCACCGCACCCGGCCAGACCCCATCTTTACCAAAAAAAAAAAAAGCCAGGTGTGTTGGTGTGCACCTGCGGTCCCAGCTGCTCTGGAGGCTGAAGTGGGAGGATTGCCTGAGCATGGGAGGTCGAGGCTGTCGTGAGATGTGATCATGCCATTGCACTTCAGCCTGGGTGACAGAGGAGTGAGATCCTGTCTCAAAAAATAAAAGAATTTCTACTGAGAATACTATCTTTTTTCCCCACTCTTTACAGGTTGTTCCAGGCTATGGCCATGCGGTACTGAGGAAGACTGATCCACGATATACCTGTCAGCGAGAGTTTGCTCTGAAACACCTGCCTAATGACCCCATGTTTAAGTTGGTTGCTCAGCTATACAAGATTGTGCCCAATGTCCTCTTAGAGCAGGGTAAAGCCAAGAATCCTTGGCCCAATGTAGATGCTCACAGTGGGGTGCTGCTCCAGGTAAGTCCTCCTTTCTCTCTTTTCCCTCTAATTTGTACCAAACCCTATTGTTATCTGCCACGAACAAAGTCAGTTAACTCCTAGTCAGAGCAAGGACTTCCTTCACAGAGCATTTTGATAAAGTTGACTATGACAGGGTCGAGGGTTGGGGTTGCTCTGTTCTCTTTTTTTTTTTTTTTTTTTTTTTTTTTTGAGACGGAGTCTCGCTTTGTCACCCAGGCTAGAGTGCAGTGGCCAGATCTCAGCTCACTGCAAGCTCCGCCTCCCAGGTTCACACCATTCTCCTGCCTCAGCCTCCCACGTAGCTGGGACTACAGGCGCCCGCCACCTCGCCCGGCTAGTTTTTTGTATTTTTAGTAGAGACGGCGTTTCACCATGTTAGCCAGGATGGTCTTGATCTCCTGACCTCGTGATCCGCCCGTCTCGGCCTCCCAAAGTGCTGGGATTACAGGCTTGAGCCACCGCGCCCGGCCTGCTCTGTTTTCAGAATCCCAATTGCTATACTTTTCTCATGTCATTTCTATTTAAGGTTGACTGGGCTAAGTCCTTGGAGAAAAACAGAAAATTGAGCTTTTAAGGTTTCTATCACCCAGGACTTGTACATGCCACTGCCTCTGCCTCTGCCTTAAACCCTTTTTCTCTTCTACCTTACAGTATTATGGCATGACGGAGATGAATTACTACACGGTCCTGTTTGGGGTGTCACGAGCATTGGGTGTACTGGCACAGCTCATCTGGAGCCGAGCCTTAGGCTTCCCTCTAGAAAGGCCCAAGTCCATGAGTACAGAGGGTCTGATGAAGTTTGTGGACTCTAAGTCAGGGTAAAACTGGAGACTGGGGGAAAGTGACTACCAGAAAGTGAGGAAGCCTAAATAAAAAGTATACTTTTGTTTCAGGGGGCCTTTAAAGACATAAGATTAAATTATATCTGAGGCACTGATAATATGTTTGAGGTTAAAATATAAATTAAGACTTTAAAAGATGAAAAATGATCCCTTCTTCCCTAATCAGCTCCCTTCCCCTGCCTTGTATGAGTTGCCCATCACAGGGGTGGTCCTGGAGGATGACGAGGACTAATGCCTGTGGTATGAGTAGGTTTGGCCCCCTCACTATCTCTAGAGTGAGAATCTGCCTCCTGTTTCCATGGGTCAAAGCCAGTTGCAGAGAACCTGCAGTCACTTGGGAGCTTTAGCTTCTTCTCTGCCAAGCCCTCAATAAGCCAGCAAACCAGGACTCTGCCCCTTCTGTTTCCATAGGAATCGTGTTGGGTAGTCAGCTGTACCAAGCCCCTTGGCACTCTCCCATATACACAAACACTTTCTAGCAAGACCTGTTGGTTAGCTGGACATGCTTTGGCAATTTTTTTATACTACCAAGTGACCATAAAGGCATGGCATTTGTTGTGACTGGCACCCAATGTTTGATTTCTTTTTTAAAAAACTATCCAATTAAGGTCTGGGAGTGTTCTGTTTCCCATTACTTTAATACTCACCTCCTCCTCCCAGACTTTCTACACCTTGCACCTCAGGCTGAGGATGTTCTGGACCACTCCTCTTGGTCCCTGCTAGAGACCTCTCTGATCTGTGGGCCCAGTCATTGGGTTTTATCAGTGCTTAATGTGAACTAAGTTTTTTACTTCCATAGAATACAAGCCACTATCCTCTGATCTCCCCACCCGCCACCAACCCCCATCTTTTAACATGCTGTGGGGCATAGAACAGGGACTCAGGAATGACCAGCATGATATTTTCAGGGTCTTGTCCCTAGGGTATTAGCACCTCTTTTTGAACAGAGAATTGATTCAAGATTGGACATGGTCTCCTCTGATTATCAGGTACTGGGGCTGAGGGCATTAAAAATAGTAAACCTCCCTCCTCGTCCCCTGCCTCAAGAAAATGCCTCCTTATTTATCAGTATCCTTTTCCTCCCTTTCCCTGAGAGCTCACAGTACAATGTTTGTTTTAGAAGCCCCATTTGCACAGGTTTTCAGCAACTCAGAATGCTCTACTTCCTCTTCTTTGAGAAAGGATTGAGATACACTCCTGCTGTGCCCCCATCTTTCCTCCAAACTCCTGCCTGTGTTTGTGTGGATACCCAGTCCCAGAACCACACTGTTGAGTTGGACACACTGTAAACCCCTGGGTAAATGTCAAGTCATGATGCAGACTTCAGGTTGTTCTGTATAAAATGCAAAATAAATGTTTTTATTAACAATGCTTGAGCCTACTATTAAATAAGGCCTGGAAGAAAGAATCTTTATTATGAGGTAAAGAATCTAGCTAGCAAGATCCTGAACTTAGTGGGTTATAAGTAATCTGTATCCATTTATCTTTAGGCAGGTTTGACTTTCTTTTACCTTAACCAGAGGAAAGCCTCCCTGAGAGATTTCCAAAGGAGGTTTCTGTCCTTCCTCAAGGTTAGGAAGTCCTTGATGTTTAGCCCCTAACTTTGCTAATTTTGTCTAAGGTAACATACTCAAGGGCTATAGCTGAGACTCTTAATTGCTTATGTGACTAATCCAAGAACTGGTCTAGCCCACTGAGAAAGGAACAAACTGTACCATGGACGAATGGGCTAGTACTGCTACCTCAGGACCAGAGCCACTAGAGGGCTCTGGTACTTCTTGGCGTGCCTGTTCTTTACAGCTTCCCTGAAGGAGGTCCCAAAAATAACAAGAGGTGGTCCTGAGGGCATCACATATATGGGAGGTCCGAGACCAGATGATTCTGTCCTGAGATCCCTGCTGCAACTGACCTTCTGAAAAAGTCTATAAATAGGCAAGGGGGTGGGTACTAGGTCCTGGCTTGTAGAATGTGCTACTATAGTTAGCAGGGACACTGTGTCCAAGAGGCCTTCTTACACCTTCACTCCCCCAGGAAAAGAAGCCATAACTTCCTTCTACTCTATTATATCTACATTATTGCCCCAAGAAACAATATAATAAAGCCAAATTCACACTGTTACAATTTATTGAAATTTTATAAAAACTCAGGCCAAGTGGAAGAATAAGGTACAACTCAAGAGTACAAAGACAACTCCGTTTCCGTTCAGTACTTTTCTCCTCAGCACTGGTGGTAAGAAAGCCCCTTGCTCTCTAGTAGCCAGGCAGCATGGACTTACAGTCTTAAAATGAGGCTTTATGTATCTCAGGCTGGAGGCAGGTTGCCTTTTCTCCTGAGGAATCTCAGGCAGGGTAAAAGTTACTTACCACTCAGTACCTCTGTGCCAGAAGAAAAGCTCAATTTATTCAATCCTTAGAAAAGTTACTATCTTCCCCTGGTCAGACACTAAGGTGTCTTGATAAGGCCCAGAGACAACCACATAGTCCTTATTCTAATTCGTAGTGAAAAGGCTGCAGGCATATGGTGCTCCTCTGATGGGCCTGACCCTTTCCTAAGCACCTCTCATTTCCACATCCTTTGCCTTCTCTTTCCCCTAACATTTCCAGCCAGCATAGAACCCAATTTCTGGGGAATTGAGAGGAGAAACAGTATTACGAACACAGACTCCTTTCAAATTGGAGCAGGAGCCAAACCAAATAAATAAGAGAATTGCGAAGGGAAGTGGGGTAGAAGGGAGGTCAGGGAACAATCCCGTGCCTCAAGTCTGGTGCACCTCATGGAACATCAGTTCACGGGGGATGGCTGTTTCTGGACCAAACTTGGTGGCTGCCCGACGCTCAAAGGCAGCAACATTCTGTTTGACAACCTCATCAAAAAACATGGTGGCCAGCTGGGAGTGCAGCAGAGAACGAAATTCAAAGGAAATCTGGGAACGGGTAAGAGACAGTCAGAAACTTCCAGACAATGTTGGATAGTCCCTGGCCAAATGCAATGGGGGTTACTGTTCCTCAGGGCCTTTTCTCCCCCTCTCCATCTAGTTCGTTGGATCCCCTTAAGAGCCCTAACTTGGGACTGAGCACAGAATACAAGTCTGACACAAGCTGAGACCTGTGGAAACTAACTAACTTGGGAAATGCTAGCTATACTTAAAAGAATAACACTGTCAGGTTGGTGTGGTGGCTCACGCCTGTAATCCCAGCACTTTGGGAGGCCAAGGCGGACGGATCACCTGAGGCCAGGAGTTCGAGAGCAGCCTGGCCAAAATGGTGAAACCTTGTCTCTATTAAAAATACAAAACTTAGTTGGGCTTGGTGGCAGGCGCCTGTAGTCTCAGCTACTTGAGAGGCTGAGGCAGTAAAATCGCTTGAACCCGGGAGGTGGAGGTTGCAGTGAGCCGAGATCGTGCCATTGCGCTCCAGCCTGGGCGACAGAGCAAGACTTCATCTCAAATAGATAAATAACCCTGTCACAGTACCCCAGCCCTTCCCCATACCCAGTCCTAGTCCTCTGCTACACAACCTCCTGACTCACCGAAAAGTCCACAGTGCAGGTTCGAGGATAGGCAGGAATACCAGGGCTGAATCGCCAAATGGTCTCTAAGTGGTTGAAGAGCTTGCCATCAGTACAAACAGCCTAGAATAGGATAACAGGTAGTTAAATAACATTACTAAGTATAGGATACAATATAAAGGAAAGCCATTTTCCTTCTTTCTGATATTAGGGAAATACTTGACACATGGAGATAAAATCACAAGGAAGGCCAAAATAGCACTTTAATATGAAACTACTAAAAAGAAAAAATCCAGTCCATCCCTCTCATACAGGCCTCACCTTGACCATGTGAGGTTTGACCATCGAAACTGCAGAGGTGTAACGTTCCATGACAGGTGGAAAGCCAACCTCCAGCTGGGCTTTCAAGTGACCCTTACGGCTGGATACCACTAGAGACTTCTTACACCAGGGCACAAACTCACGATACTCCTGGACATTGGACACCACTTCATACATCTCCTGCATTGAGTACCTAGGAGAAGAAGAATCACAGGCCAAGGAGCTGCCAGCTGGGTCAGGTTCCTCCTTGCTGTAGGCCCCTAATTCATACTTTTGCCCACTAACCATGCACCTTCAGGAACTAGAGATCCCAAATAAGCCTGGATGAATAACTTCCCAAAAGCAAATGTGCAAATCCTTATGATATCGTTACCTTATATTTTGCAGTTTACAGAATGCTTTTGCATTCATTATTTTGATTTTAAGAGGGACCATCTAGGGAGAACAGAGAGGCTGTCAATTACTGGTGATCACACAAGGATCAGATCCCAACTCTTAACAATTTTTTAACAATGTAGCCTTAGGTAAATTACCTGTGTCTCCATTTTCTCACCTGATTTATAGGTTTGTTGTGAGGATTAAATGAGAAAAATCTATGTAAAATATCTAAGTCAAGCTGCTAGCATGTAGCAAGTGCTTGATAAGTTAGCTATTATGCTCAAAATATATTTAAAAGGTTACGCTGCAAATATTTACACATACTATGTACCCATAAAAATTTTTCTTAAATGGTCACCAGAAAACACCCTGTTTTTTGTTTGTTTTGTTTTTTGAGACAGTCTTGCTCTGTCGCCCAGGCTGGAGTGCAGTGGTACAATCTCAGCTCACTGCAACCTCTGCCTCCCAGGTTCAAGCGATTCTCCTGCCTCAGCCTCCCAAGTAGCTGGGATTACAGGCACCCACCACCGTGCCAGGCTGATTTTTATATTTTTTATTTCAGTGGAGACAGGGTTTCACAATGTTGGCCAGGCTGGTCTCGAACTCCTGATCTCAAACAATTGGCCACCTCAGCCTCCCAAAGTGCTGGGATTACAGATGTGAGCCACCGCACCCAGCTACGCCCTGTTGTCTTAAAGTATAGTCCAACCCTAGTCTCATTTCACTTAAGCACATGCACAGCAACCAAGAAGGGAGAAATTAAGGTCAGGAGGGTGGCAGAGGAGGATTGAGGGTCAGTATTGTAGCTGGGGAGGGGGATGGCTAGAGATGAATCTTGCCCACTGATGATACCCTGACATTCTTGCCTGGACATGGTTATTTGGAGGGAAAGGGGAAGTGGAAGGATGCAGGGCAGAGAATGCTTACCCCATGATTCTACGCTCCGAGTAAGCCTTTCGCTTGTTGGTGAAGGGGGCAGCAAATCCCATGAAGGAACGGCTCCACGGTAAGCCAGCCTCAGCCGCCAAGATCTGGGCAGCCCGAGGCAAGAGGAGGCTGCAGGAGGTCAGAAACCTAAGACCAAAGGAAAGAGGAGCCAACCTTATAGTTCTTTGTAATCCTCTATCAGTTCTAGGTGAAGGGGAAGAATAGTGCATCCCAGACAAAAGTCGTCCAGACAAGCTTTCCCCCCAGCACCTGCTGCAGCCCGCTAGGCTCTCTCTGGCCAGGGAGTCACGAGTGCAAAAGGTCGAGGGCAGCTAAGGACAGGGCTGGGGGCGGGGTGTGTGGGAAGTGCTAGTTGCTTTTGACTGGGCCTACGCTACTGCTGAAAGCTAAGACTCTAAGGAAGCATCACTGTCCCCGGGGAACCCAGGGCGCCCGCAAGGGCCAAGAAGAGGTTAGACACTCACCCCGAGGACTTCCCTTCTCGTACAACTTGCAAAAGCATTCTCCAAAGCTCTACATTAGCTCCCAGGGCATCATTGCTGCCAGTCCCCGCTGCGCCTGCATCCCAGTATAGCACCCCTCCACCGCGGAACCCCGGGGTCCGCAGCGACCCGCTGCCCTCAGCAGCGATCGCCCGCGCCTCCCTCTCACCTCATTGGTCGCGGCGGCGGTGGCAGAGGGCCTGGGGGCGGGGCCGGGCGCGTGCCCGGGCGGAGGGAGAGCCGGCAGCAGCGCTCGGCTGCTGCGCGCGTCCCAACCGGGACCCGCCGCGAGCCCGCCCAGGCCATGCGCGCGACCCTGCCCGCCCCTCTAAATTCTGACACCGGCTGCGCCCTCCTCACTCCAAAGAAGGAGCAGCAAGAGGCAGCCGCCGGGCTGGTTGGGGGCCTCCGAGCGCAGGGGCGACGGGAGGCGGCAGCACCTCTCGCCTTGCTCCCGTGTAGGCTGCCGGGTAGGCTAGAACTGAAGCCGGGATCGCTGCTACCGCAGCTCTCGGTACCCCCACGTCACGCTGTTGCCATGGCTCGGGCCTGGGAGAGGAAGGAAGGGGACAACGCCGCCTGTCGGGAGATGTAGTTCATACCTCTGGCGAGAAAGGGCGCTGGGGTGTGCGTTTGAGAAGTGCAAAGATGGTTCAGGGGACTGAGGTCGCCTGTGGTCACAGGACCCGATACGTAGGCACAGAGACGACTTCGTGGGCGTGTCTACAGCAGATATCTGTAGATCCTCTGAACGCCGCTCTTAGAGCCTTAGGTTCTCTAGGGGGGCAGAATGAATAGGATAAATGTATATATGAAAGGGAGTTTATTAAGGAGAATTGCCTCAGGATCACAAGGTAAAGTCTCACATTAGGCCGTCTGCAAGTTGAGGACCAAAGAAGCCAGTGGTGGATCAGTCCAAGTCCTAAAACCTCAAAAGCAGGGAAGCTGGCAGTGCAGCTTTCAGTCTGTGGCCAAAGCCCTGAGAGCCCCTGGCAAACCATTGGTGTAAGTCCAAGAGTCCAAAAGCTGAAGAACTTGGAGTCTGATGTTCGAGGGCAGGAAGCATCCGGCACGGGAGAAAGATGAAGGCCGGAAGAGTCAGCAAGTCAGCTTCTTCCCCCTACTTTTACTTTTATTTACATATTTATTTGAGACGCAGTCTCGCTCTTTTGCCCAGGCTGGAGTGCAGTGGCACGATCACGGCTTACTGCAACCTCCACCTCCCAGGTTCAAGCGATCCTCGTGCCTCACCACCTACCCCTACCTTGCCCCCGCCCCAGTACCTGGGATTACAAGCATGCGCCGCCATGCCCAGCTGATTTTTGTATTTTTAGTAGAGATGGGGTTTTGCCATGTTGGCCAGGCTGGTCTTGAACTCCTGACCTCAGGTGATCCACCCGCCTCAACTTCCCAAAGTGCTGGGATTACAGGTGTGAGCCACCGTGCCCAGCCCTGCCTACTTTTTCTAGCGTTGCTGGCAGCGGCTTGGATGGTGCCCACCATTGAGACTGGGTCAGCTTCTTCCAGTCCACTGACTTAAATGTTAATCTCCTTTGGCAACACTGTCATAGACACCCAGGAACAACACTTTGCATCCTTCAAACCAATCAAGTTGACACTCACTATTAACCATCACAGAGCCTTTATCATATTCGGCCTTGTTTATAGTTAGAAGCACTGTTCATCTTTGTAGCGTCCACAAGTGGTTAGTGCTGTGTACTACATTTTTGGGAAAGGAGATTAACATTCCAAGCTCTGAGCTAAGGCTGCATAGTTTTCACCTTTAATATTTATAGAAAGAAGTCAAGGTAGGAAGAACCAGATATTCTTAGGACAGAGAACCATCTTTGTCTGAAAAGTGTGCATTTGATGAAGAGTGAGACCTCATGGACAGAAACCCAGGCAAGTAAATATCACTATACTGCTTTTCATGATTCAAGAAGAAAAAAAAGTACTCTTGGGTGAGCACGGTGGCTCACTCCTGTAATCCCAGCACTTTGGGAGGCTGAAGCAGGCAGATCACTTGAGGTCAGGAGTTCGAGACCAGCCTGGTCAACATAGTGAGACCTTATCTCTACTAAAAATACAAAAATTAGCCAAGCATGGTGGCAAGCGCTTCTAATCTCAGCTACTCGGGAGGTTGGGCAGGAGAATTGTTTGAACCCAGGAGGCGGAAGTTGGAGTGAGCTGAGATTGTGCCACTGCACTCCAGCCTGAGCAACAAAGCAAGACTCCATGAGAGAAAGAAAGAAAGAGAGAGAGAGAGAGAGAGAGAGAGGGAGGGAGGGAGGGGAGGGGAGGGGAGGGGAGGGGAGGGGAGGGGAAGAGAAAAGAAAGAGAAAAAATGCTCTTGATAAAAGTCAGGTGAATAAAAGAAAAAAGGAGAGGAAGAAAGAAATCAACGATTAGAAAGAGATTGGGCTAGGTACAGTGGCTCATGCCTGTAATCCCAGCACTTCGGGAGGCTGAGGTGGGAGGATCCCTTGAGGCCAGGAGTCCAAGACCAGCCTGGGCAACATAGAGACCCTTGTTTCTCCAAAAACAAAAGAGAGACTAGAATTAGGTGGGTGCAAAAGAATGGTGGTGCCTGCTGTTGAATTTCAAGAAATTCATGCTATTACAGTACAAACCTTTCCTCTGCTTGCTTGCTAAATCTTCAGTCAAGCTCTCCACTTTCAGGAAAGCTTTCCCTGAGAAGTGTTTTGTGTGGTGCTTATGCGGAGGGACAGGGGATAAAGTAAATAAGACTGTGTTGCAGCCAGGCATGGTGGCTCATACCTGTAATCCCAGCACTTTGGGAGGCAAAGGTGGGTGGATCACCTGAGCCCAGGAGTTTGAGACCAGTCTGGGCAATATGGCGAAACCTTGTCTCTACAAAAAATACAAAAAAATATTAGCCAGGCATGGTGGTACATGCCTGTAATCCCAGCTACTTGGGAGTCTGAGTTGGATCACCTGGGCCTAGGAGGTTGAGGCTGCAGTGAGCCATGATTGCACCACTGCACTCCAGTTTGTGTGATGGGAGTGAGACACTGTCTCAAAAAAAAAAAAAAAAAAAAAAAACCGGGTTTGCAAGCTATTTCTAATTAATGTGGAACAGACATCTGGTCTAGAAAGAGGGTGGTTCTTGGGCCTGGCACGGTGGCTCAGGCCTGTAATCCCAGCACTTTGGGAGGCCGAGGCGGGCGGATCATGAGGTCAGGAGATCAAAACCATCCTGGCCAATGTGGCAAAACCCCATTTCTACAAAAAATACAAAAAAAAAAAAAACAAAAAAAAAAACAAAGCCAGGTGTGGTGGTGCGCACCTATAGTCCCAGCTACTCGGGAGGCTGTGGCAGAGAATCACTTGAGCCCAGGAGGCAGAGGTTGCAGTGAGTGGAGATCATGCCACTGCACTCCAACCTGGGTGACAGATGGAGACTCTATCTCAAAAAAAAAAAAAAAAAAAAAAGAAAGAAAAAACAAAAGGCCAGGCAAGGTGGCTCACACCTGCAATTCCAGCATTTTGGGAGGCCAAACAGTTGAATCACCTGAGGTTGGGAGTTCAAGACCAGCCTGACCAATATGGAGAAACCCCGTCTCTACTAAAAATACAAAATTAGCCGGGCATGGTGGCACATGCCTGTAATCCCAGCTACTTGGGAGGCTGAGGTAGGATAATTGCTTGAACCCCGGAGGTGGAGGTTGCAGTGAGCCTAGATGGTGCCATTGCACTCCAGCCTGGGCAACAAGAGCAAAACTCTGTCTCAAAAAAAAAAGTTTGAGCCCATATTCTCTGGATTTCAAGTAAGCAAGGGCCATTGGGTGATCACCAAAACCCATTTTATATAAACTCTTCTGCCTCCATAGCAGTTAGTACTACCAATTCAAAATAATTATTGACCAAATGAATATGTTTTATTATTTATCTATTTAATTTTTGAGACGGGGGTCTCACTCTGTCACCCAGATTGGAGTGCATTGGTGTGATCTCGGCTCATGCAACCTCTGCCTCCCAGGCTCAAGTGATCCTCTCACCTCAGCCTCCTAAATAGCTGCGACCACAGGAGCACACTACCACATTTTTGGTAGAGACAGAGTTTCATCATCTTGCCCAGGTTGGTCTCGAACTCCTGAACTCAAGCAATATGTCCATGTTGGCCTTCCAAAGTGCTGGGATTACAGGCGTGAGCCACCATGCCTGGACTGATGGGCACATGACCTTAAAGGACAGATTTACTCTTTATAATCCCACTCTTGTGTCCAGTCCCACTCCCCTCTGACTAAGGACTTATACATATGAGACAGCTTCTTTGAATGAGGAGTAAGGATCTGGTTGGTTAAAAGACAGAAATTAACTGGGATACATAACTGAACTGTGACCTCATTATCACTCTGCTTTAACCAAGTTGACTGCTACAGAATCCCCAAGGTCCAATAGGCCTGCCAAGCCAATTTGCTTGCTATCCCCTACTAATTAGTTTAGCTAATCACTGCCATTTAAACTTTCCTAGTTTAGTCCCTATGCTTGAAACAACCAATTTCCTCCCATGTCTCCACCATTCTACATCAATAACTTCCTTCAAGTACTGACTCAAGACACGCCTCCTCCAGGAAGACCCCGTTGACTGAACCCTTCCTTCAACATTACTCTGAACACATACTGCCATGTAATCTAGCATGTATCGTATATTCTGTAGTTGTTTCACATGTATATGTATGTTCATCTACTAAGTTATAAGCTCCTCATAAAGAGACACCGTTACTTCTAACTTTTGACCTCCCAACCAGTTAGTACAGGGCTGTACATCGGATGAGTCCTCACATTTAGTCCTCACATTTGTCAGAAGAAGGAAAACTGAGGCTTAAAAATAGGTAGCCATCTGTCTAGAGTTACCCAAATATGAATGCAGTAGTTCAATCCTGAAGGACTGTCCATATAAGAGGGTTTTAACACCACTTCTGGCCTCCTTCTCCCATACCCTGTGTATCTCCCTGAGCCCTGATAGTATCAGTGTTCCCTACATCAAATCCTTTTTTTCCCTACTGGGAAATCCTCTTTCAGTGCTCTAAATAATATTAAAAATAACTCTTCTAGCCCTTCCTCCTCCCTCTAGTTTCCCAGAGAACCAGGCTGGCAACGTCTCTTGTTCACCTTCATCCCCTAGCCAGACCCAGGCACGTGACCCCAGCTCAATCCCTGACTCCAATTCCTCAGGTTACCAAGAGTTATTTTGGGCAATGGATACCATGTATGCCCCTCCTTCTCATCCTCTGGGCCATATCCTAGTTTAGCCCTTCCTGGAAGGCCCATAATACCCAATAGCCAAGTCCCAACACCCATACCCATTTGATCCTTTGCTACCTTTGGTTTCTGCTGCTGCTTCATCATCATCATCAATCATCAAATATTAAATGCCTGTTTCTCTATACTGATATTCTAGAGCTTAAAAAAACCAATACCTTTTCCTTCGGAAAGCTCAAAATAATTTTTTTTCATTAAAAAAAAAAACAATTTAAAGTCCATGTTAGAGAAGACTCTGACTCTGGCTTACAAGGAGTTTAAAATCCACTTTATG